TAAACGGGAATTTTAGTAAATAACGGTTTATAATATAACGGTGTTGTTACCGCGAAATAAAATGTTGCCCGCAAAAGAACTCTTGACGCTCTTCTAGAGGCTTTCTCTTCCCGTTACGCGACGGTGTTACAAACGCGGATTTATCTCGAATCAAATGCCCCAGTTCGACACTCCCATTTGTAGTAGTTTTGTAATATTTAGCAGTTTATTTTATCTCAACTGTGTTCGTATGCCTGTGTGCTTTAAGGGGTTTGAAGTGATTTAAATTGAAGGCTGGTACGCCGCCTTTATACGAAAAAATATAATTTATAAATAGTAATAATCAGCACAAATGTCGATCGGAGTGACGACATGGCCTCAGAAAACCAGTGTTGAACAATTCTTTGTTTACTTTTCACTGAGTGTATGGGGTTACCGGAGCCCAAACCTCAATTTCTGCTGCCTCAGAGGACGCCAACGCACCTGTGACTCTTGAGTTAAGAGTATTTATAGCCGGCGGTAGTCCCTTACCATAAGGTGGGGCAGGGCCTCAATTCGGGTTTTTTAATATTGTATAAATAGACCGTCGATAGAATGTCGTTGTAATAGGTTTGCACTTTACCTATTCTACTAACTATGTAAGACTAATGGGCTTTTTTTTTTTTTTTTTTTTTTTTTTTTCCGTGCGGAAATCCCCTCGGATACCACCTGTCAGTGGCATATCGGACTCGAACCGACTAAAACCGCACGCCGTCTCGGGTACTAATAGCCGCGGAACCAGGTATACCCTAGAAAGGAAGTCCCTGGTGCAAGACTAATGGCCTCCCGATGACTTCTCACTAATACAAATATCGTCGATGTCTTTGTAACTAAATACATACATACATAAAAAACACCCAAACTCCGAAACAAATGTTTACAGATCATACTATCATTTGGTCCGACTCCGGGAATCGAACCCGACACCTCAACACAGCGCTACCACTACACCACCAAGGCAGTTAAGCACATATGAGTGACTAAAGCGATAAATTGAATCATAGATCTTTATCTGTAATATTCAGAAATTATTATAACGATGTTTAGATGTCTTCCCAAATTAGAAATATAGATTTGGTGTTTATTACTGATATGATAGGTATAAATCTGCAGATTTGTGGCTAAATTAGTTTTTTTTTAAACGGGGACGACTTGTAACCTCATATTCTCTAATATAAACATTTTGGCCATAATGCTAGAAAACCGTTACTCTATGTTTGTCAAAATACTGAGAACAGGTGACGTATTTTAGTAATTTGAATATATCTGACACATTTAACATGGCTTGCTAGCGTTGCATAATTATACAACACAAACCATTACCTATGGAACATACTGAAATTAATATGGGCTCAACAAAATATTAATATGAGCTTCATTAAAATTTGTAAAGATTAGCGGTAAATTATTTTATTTTGTGCTTTCTTTGTGGTGTGCATAATAATAAAGTCTAAATATTCGGTATTTTTTTTTTCTAAATATAAGTTTTGTAAATTTTTCTGTATTTGTCTTAAAAGCACAATGGAATAGAATAAAATATTATTTAATACATAAAGCACATCATACAAAAATAAAACCAAAGTTAAAAAACAACATACACAAAGAAACTAAAAATGAAGTAGGGTTTGATAAAGGCATCATTTTACAATGTGTCAATCTTTCATATCTGACAGAATTGACGTGACACGCCAATGTGCCACGTATCCAACCACGCGTCTATAAAATTTTACTTATAATAACTATGTTAGTACTTATTAACTAATAGTTATCAACCTGTGTACCATAAAAAACCTTTAATGTTGCTGAGGATTGTACGCCGTGCTTCAGAAAATAGGTGGACCCTCAGTGTACACTGTGGTAGATAGATGCCACCTCAGTACTATTTTTCAGTGCCCACTTTATTTCATTTAAAATCGTTGTAGAAGTTATGAGAAGGGAAATCTTTTGAGGCACTTTTACGTACAACTTCACCATTTGTCGTCTTCATAGTAACATTTGGTCGAAACCTAGTAATTTCAAGATAAACGGTTGAGTAGGTTAGGCGTGAAAGCGTAACAAACAAACTCACATACGCATTTCTAATATTAGTGTGAATGCAAAAATACAACGTCCTGACTTTGGTTGCATAAAACCTAATACAATGAAGAAACATAGCACTAGTCGTCACCATTGTACGGCATCCACCTCATACCTGTTTGACCTTTTTCGAACATACCGTGCAAAATTCAAGGGCATCTATTGTCTAATAATACTATTATCTCTAATTTCAGTTGTAGGTAATTAACAACACACTGCAAGTGGATTGCGAAATCTAATTCAATTTTGTGTTGGTGTGCCATGGTCTTTTCCTTCTTTTATCCATAGTTCTCAGTAATACGTGTTATGGTATTGAGATAAACTAGAACCTCGGTAGAAATATCTAGTAATAATGTACTGGTATCTTTTCTTGATAAATATTATATCGAAATTTTGCTTAATAATGCCAATATAACCATTAATTAGGTTTTAGGTTGCATAAACCATTCCCCCCGGCCGCCTACCAAACCAAGTTTCGAAACCAGTTTCGAAATAAGAATAATACCTATTTCTTTTTTCGTAACTCATTTCGATAAAAGGAAAGATTTGAAACTTGGTTTCGTAGGCGGCCGAAGGAAAACTTTAGGGATTAGGTACATTGTTTTAGGTCCGACTATCAAAGACTTTCTTAAAGAAAAAATCAAAAAACACTTATTAGAACCAAGTCAATCAATAAAAAATTAAAATGAGCATCATATACGAGTTACATTACGATTATATGATTACAAATACGGATCTATTGACGGTTTTTGAAGTAGTGTCTGTAGTCTGTATGTATGTAATATGTAATGTAGTCTGTATGTAATAGATAAATAAAATAGACGGATCGAAGCGGAGGTACCGGCAAGATATCCTTTATTGCTTCGCAGTGAGAGTATTTATTTATACTAGAGTGAGTTAGTGCAGTTTTTTGTCCTTATGCCATTCTATGGGAAATGTTTAAAGCTGCCGACTATCAAAAGATGCTACAGTAAGTCGCATGATTTGATACTTATACTGCTATGACAAAAATAGGTATATCTATTTAATATGCATAGTAATGAAAGTGGGCATAAATCTTGATATTCGCTTGCTAGATCACCCGATCTAATCAGAGTTCACTGTTTTTATTTGTACGGAACCAGCCTATTAATTCCACGGTCGTTTTTGTGTTATATTAATGTAAGTAACAGTGACGCCACAATTGCACGGATATTCGAGATCTCGTAATATATCTTAGTCACTGTTTTTTGACTGCCTCGGTGGCGCGGTGGTAGCGTATACGATTCCCGGGTCGGACCAAATGTTTGTAAGATCTGCAAATATTTGTTTTGGAGTTTGGGTGTTTTCTATGTATAATATGTATATATTTACAAAAAAAAAGTATATAAGTATTCTATCAGTCAATCTACCTTTCAACCTTGAAACCTACCTACCTTGAAACAAGATGGCGTTGTGTGTCAGATGTCCGATTTTTTTAAATTATTGTTAGGTATTTTGAGACTTGAATCATAAATTTTATTAATTCAATGAATTTGAGTACCGAGTTATTTTGTACTAATCTCCTTACTAATCTCATCGCATTTGTTAATTGGTGATAATATAGTGGCAGGTGCACCTGGTTTACCTTGACTTTATAGATGAGAGCAATAAAAAAAAGTTCGCTCATTCTTTTAAATTTATAATCTGCACCACTGCTTATTGCAGTAGCTGTAAAGGTTTGGTACCATCTGAGTAGCATTATATCTAGACTTGCAACGAATATTCGGTAACTATTCGGTATTCGGCCTATTCGGCTGCTTTTATTATATTCGGCCGAATACCGAATATCTACATATTATTCGGCCGAATACCGAATACTTAAATAATATATTTTGTCATTGAGAAATAATTGGTAAAATGAAAAATTAAAATCGATTGATTACGTATATATTCATATTTTCATTTCTGTTATAATCATTTAAGTAGTCATTGGTGCATAACACAGGTACATAATCATCTTCTAAATTGGAAAAATGGAGGATTCTATGTATTTGAATTATTGTGGTAATCAAAATTTAGAAGGGTAAGGTTCTCATTTCTTTTATAATCATTTATTACGTAGTCATTGGTACATAAAACAGGTACATAATTTAATTCACGTCTGTACAAGTTTTTGGCGCTAAAATCCAGCCGAATACTTTTGCCTAATATTCGGCTATTCGGTCAGGGGCCTCGCCGAATATTCGGTATTCGGTATACTGCCGAATATACTATTCGTTGCAAGTCTAATTATATCTGATTCCTGTCAAGGAATCTTTAGAGTTTAATTCGTTTTGTAGAAATCATTGATTGAAATCGTTCTGTTCCTAAGAGGATAGTAAATAAATGAATTTATTTTGTTTATTTTTAACATAATTTATGCATTTAAAAAAATGAGACGCCGAAAAATAATCTTAATAAAAATGGGGAAAATAAATAGCACTTGGCAAGTCAGGCTAAATTAATACTAATACTAATTTTTCAGTGAGAGCAACAAAAATACAAGAAAAATTATTAAATATCGCTCTATTTCTATGATCTATTTATTTTGTTAGAACATCTAATTCTTTCCTCTTGCGATAGCGCGCAATTTTCTGTGTTGCAAGAGAATTGTTGACAAATATTGGTCCAGCGCTTCATTTGATTAGGATCAGATTATGCCAGCCATTTTAAAATATTTTCAGATAGCTTTGTATCTAATGGAAAATTATAGATTTTATGTTTTCGTATCACGACACACTCAGTTTGCCTGTAGGAAAATCTATGAGGTGAAGACTTTGCTTACTTCATTCATAAACATTAATAAGACCACCCCATAAATATCCAATTAAAAACTTACAAATAATGAATAATATAATAAATCCGAAATCTACCACACACATTAAAGTATTTCTTTCACTCTACAGGGTCGGTATCAGGCGGTGGTCAATGGACAAGGGCGCCCCCCGCGCCTCCACCAGGCGTCGTCGGAGGTGTTGGGGTGGGTGCAGGCGCGGGCGTGAACCTCAACAATGTCACCGGCCAATCGACACGAGGACGAAGAGCTGCCACGCAAAGGCATTCACCAGCTTCAGCAGCAATGCAAATGCCCCATGCGGGCTTATCAGCCGCTGCTGTTCAAGCGTTAGCAAGTGGTTGGAATCTACCCAACACGCTGACTCAGGCACAAACGGCACAAGTGCTTAGGCTCGCACAGGTGTGTGTCACTTTTTATATTCATTATTTATGTGGACTGCCTTGACCTGGCTACGTGATTGCTGATCGAGAATTTCGAGGGCAAGGCCCTACAGGGTTATTTCTGACTGATAGTTCCCGATATAGTAATAATAGCTTACACGTTTATGTTTTCGAATTGTCTTGTAAAATGAATTAAAACTTTATGCACATATTGTAACATAATAACATAACCATTACTCTTACTGGCAACCCGGCTCGATTGTATTTCTACTTAATAAAATTAAATAGTAGTCCGTATCTTTATTAATATTTTAAAAGATGACACATCTCTCACACGCGGCCGTCTGGTACCAAATTAGGCAGCGCCTGTGTTACAGTAACCAGAGTTATAAAAAACTTATATATTTCTAAATACATACTCAAGTATCATAGATAAATTCACAACTAATCTGTGGAATAAAATATCGTCTGCGATATTTACGGACCAATACGACCTTCAAAAAAAGAGCGTACTCCTTTCTCAAGACAACGCGCTTGTGACTCCTGAGTTGCAGGCGTTCGCGCCTGCTTGTTTGCCCCCTCAATCAAAAAAATATTACACCCCGTGTAAAAAAGTACAATCGTGCTCATCACACACTTCAGCGATCCTTTAGTTCTCTAATTCGAAAGAGTGAAAGGTTTCCAGTTAATCCCAAGTCTGACAATGCCCTTCGCAAGTCATGCAGTTTCAAGTAACATGAAAAAGAACAATTGTCGAAAGACAAAAGGAAAATCATTGTTATCCAACTGTTTAAAGAAAAAGCCCTATGACGTCAATAATTGTTTATTCGTTTTAAGTTCTACGAAGAGATTTGATTCATCCGTGTGGGAAATATTAACTGCGTAATAAATAGTTATGGAAAACTGTACCTATATGCGTAGAAAAAAAAAACGATATCGTATAATATAAAAAACAAAAAAAAAACCTAAAAGACCCTCTCCTTAAGGATAGGTCTATGTCCAGCCATGGACTATCAAAGTGTGTTGATGATGATGATGATGAAAAAATTGGGTTTTCGTTTTTTGCTATGGCTGGAACCACCAGCTTTGTTTTTTTTTTGTTATGGATAGAGTATTCATTGACTGTTAGAAGCGCAAGCACATGATCATAAACATACATGAAACTGGGGAACGAGTAGTTAAAAAAATACGGGTGATGACAACAGAACAGATGAGCAGACTTATGAAGACATGAAGAAGCCACATTCCCCTAAAATACTCGTAGTAGTGGTAAGATTTTTCTTATTTTAGGCGTTTTAGTATTCCGGAACGAAATACTAAAGGTTGTGCTGTTGTTTTGTTTTATAGGCGCAAGTAGCCCAAGCGCACGTGGCGCGGTACAACAATGCCATTGCTGCGGCAGCCTCGTTGCCGCAACACCGCTCGCAACACCAGCGTAACGTTCAGGTAAACATTTTCTCATAAAACGGTTTTTAAAGAAACATTTGTTATAGTCTATTTAAGAACCCAATTCGAAACTTGAGAGAATTACAGTAAAGGAATGCTTGCAACATAAGGCTAAGTGTATGCTGTATGGAATGTAAGAGCCGTGGTTCTGTATAGGTGGTTTTGTAATGCGGTTCAATGCCTTTTATTAATTTAAAAAGCCAGACAAAACTTCTTACCCCCTACATACCACGCTAACTTCTGTTTTATTAGGTTTTGTATGGATTGTCAATTTGTCAATAGATATGAATTATACACTACAATGACAAATATGCCTAAATTTCGCTAATGAATTTATAATGTATGTACTTTGATGCATAATTGCTTTGAATTAACATTAAACCTGTTGTAATGTTGAAATTATTAAGGTAGCATATTTTTTTTGAAAAAGTGATTCTTACGACGACAACTATTCATCCCGTGGGTGTCGTAAAAGCTGACTGCACGGGCAAACAATGCAGGACAACAGCACTGCAAAGAGAAGGAAACCCTGAAACAAACGCTATACCAACCCGTCTGGCCAACGTAGTATAGTTGGCCAAAACTAGCTTTCTAAGGAGAAGCCTATGTCTAACAGTGGACTATTAAAGGCTGTTGATGGTGATAATAACGAATCTCGAACCGGTGACATTGGCAACTGTGACCAACTGTTCTAAATGAACTATCTACCCATTCTGGTAATCTGAAAACCTTGAAATGCATTACAAAACCAAACGGTGTCGTACTGTTCGGAATTACACCTGTGCCTTTCAGCAAACGCTTAGCCTAAATAGCAAGTGTACCTACCATGAGTAGAAATTCCTAGAAAATGAGTAATTTTATGACTAGCTGTTTTGACTACATTCCCTGTGAAACAAGGAAATAAACAATCCCTTTTAAATTATAATATTTTAACGTCAATATTATTAGAAGCTTTTATCCACGCGAATTTTTAATATATAATTATTATTATTTAGTTTATATTATCATCGCATAGTTTCTCTTGGCACTTGCTTATGATTGTTTTGTAAGTGCCACGTGAAAATGTTTGTTTTTATCGTTTATTTCAGTTTCCGAACAGTGCAATAACAATGGCGATGGGTCAGCAACCCCCTCCACCTCTCGTGAGGAGCACTGCCAACACAACGACCATGAAGTGAGCATATTTCATCTTTCATAGTTGATTTTGTAAGAACAGCCTAGTCTCATAACGTGACCGTTGACTTTCTACTTCCTTGCTTTATTGCACTCGAGGACTTTGTAGATAGGGAGCTGTAGTCAGATGGAGAGCTAGGGTCTAATAGAGAGTATTCTGAATTGGTGCCCGACTGGGGAAAGTACTTACATCCGTAAAGCATGCTGGAGAGAGAGACAATTTTGTTTGCTTTATTTTTATTTATCTTTAAGTACTGTTTTTTTATGTAAATTCTAGTTACTATTAATGCCAGGGAGGTCGATGACATTTGTAACACATAAACTAGCGCAGGAGTAAAGGAATTCTAATACTTATTGTAGATAGATAGAAAACTATTTATTTGTATATCAATTTTTACAAGAGTCGTCTCATCTATACAACTATATATTGTACTGTATAATAAGAATAATAAATAATTATTATTATTGAGTACCTATAGTTAACCTACTGTTATTTAAAAGAGGCCTTTGTCCAGCAGTGGACTATTAAAGGCTGTTGATGTGTGTGTCCGTGTGTAATTAGGTATAGTGTTAAGGCCCTTTATAAGTATTGTTGGTACCCATTCTCCATTAGTCAAACTATGTAGGTACATACTTATTTACCACATTATTAGTAAAGTAAAAAAATCTTTAATATACTAACCGTCACATTAGACTTGAAACACGTTTTAAATATTATATCCGGCTTCCGTCATTGAACCACAGTAAATATAAACCAGCTAAGTCTAAGCCAGTCGTTCAAGTATTTTTTGTGATGCTCGAACAAACAAAAGAACAATCACTGGTTTTGTTTTTATTATTCTTAAAGTATTAAGTCTTTGGGTCTAGCGATACTGAACGGATTAATATTTCAAATTTTTAATAATAAAGGTGGTAATCAACCGCCTACGATAAATAAGAAGTTCTCAATTCGGTCATTTTTTTAGTTTTGTTACCTCATAACTTGTCATTTATGAAACGATTAGAATCTTTTATTCGAAAGAGTATATTTCGTGTTGGTTCGATTTCCATCTAGGAAAAAAACTAAAAACCTTGTATGATGAACACGATCATTTGTTCTGTGTCTGGGTGTAACCTAATATATTAAATATCTCGTGTAACGCTGTTTGTGGTCGCACTCCTTCGAAACTGCTCGACCGATTTTAAATGATTTTTTTGCATATTTGGTAGGTATGAGAATAGGTTTACCCCCACCCAACATTTTTCTAATATGGCAGGACAACGTTTACCGGGTCAGTAGTTCATCTATAATATGTATGTATTTAGAAATATAAAAGTATGTTTATCAGCAGTCTGGTACCCATAGCATAGGCTCTGCTGTATTTGAGGTGTGTCAAGTCCGTTTAGTAATACTGCAATCTTCTTCAACGGTTTTTTATTTTTATTTTATAGTTTTTTATTTTTTTAATAGTTCAGATAATTTTTTGTCGTCTACCAATAAAGGCAAGGTTTCTTTTTCAACTCATTAGTAAGCCACACTATCCGCAGATAAAATGACAATGTGCATTTGTTCTAGAGAGGCTGTTCTTACATAAATGTGAATTCCACTCGCCATTGTTTGTCACTGTGTCATTTAGAATTATATTGATATTTAGATTTAGATAATTATGCTTTTTACGCCATGACTAATATTATTTTTAATAATAGTATAAGTTGGTAAATGCCTGGATGATGTGGCGTGATAATTGGTTCGTCTACATTAGGGCAGTTTTCTGTAAAACTTGAGTATTTTGTCTACATAAACATTATATATGCCTTATTTTTGCATAGTTGCATTAACTATGACCAATCTGGACTATCTGATATTGGCAACCAATTATCACCGACAACACGCCACAGCAGCACCGCAAAAACTTGGTTATGCACATGATCTCATGTATATCCGTCCCTTTCAACTACTAAACAGCTGAACAGATTTATCGGTCTGTCTCGCAAGAAGAACGTAGTATATTAAAATTTAAAAAAAATATCAATTATAAAAATATCAATTGAAGACATCTTTTTCAATGGAGTATCAAAGAAAAGATTTTAAAACATGATTTCAATTGAAAAAAATATTTAATTTATTTACTTTATCCATTTTAACTTTATTGACGTGACTACGTATAATTCGATGGAGCCGGCTGCACGCACGAAAAAACATGACTCATGCGGCGTTACCTCGCTGTGAGGTGTTCCATTTAAGGCTTGAAGTGCAAGCGAGAGCGCGGAACGAGCGACAAAGAGGCACAATCGGCCTCCGCGTTCGGCAGCGTTCGACATCTGTCTCTCTCCTATTTTGCCTCCTTCTCTATATCCATACAAAATATCTATCAAACAAATAAAATTAAAATTTTCTTTTGAAAAATGCAACCATTCCATCAGTATTTTCTTATGACGTTGTCACGTTCAACTATCGTCAGTAAACCGACTTTACAGACAACCGTTTTCTTTTTTATAACTAAATTTACTTTAACTAAAAATATTTAATTTATCTTTTCTACTAATAGTTCATGAAGAAGTGCATGTATTAAGGGGTTCTAACAACTGAAGTTTTGTTGAAACCTCCTTCTCTTGTTTAAAGTCGGTTAAGTTGTATTGAAGTAGAAATAAACACTACAGTGTAATACATGCGGTAGGTAGGTATTTTGTGGTTTTTATTAAATGCTGATGACGTTCGACGCTTCCACTATACGTCAATGACCGATAATAAAATAAAAGTCACTTCAAAGCAAAGGTTTTAACTGCAACTATAAAACATTTTAATTAGTTTCTAGAAATACGTTTGCTAATATTAAAAAAAATATCAATTTTTTTTAAATAAGCACATTTCTAAGAGTCAGGGTTATCCAATCACATTCTAAATCGATAATGTCATGGTTATAGACAAATCCTTGCGAAATATATTATGACAAAGCAATACATAAATATAAAAAGAAATAAAAATTAAGTATATACAAATATGAGCGTATTTTTTGTATGACGTTTACTGACGATAGTTGAACGTGAAAACGTCATAAGAAAATACTGATGGAATGGTTGCATTTTTCAAAAGAAAATTTTAATGTTATTTGTTTGATAGATATTTTGTATGGATATAGAAAAGGAGGTAAATAGAAATCACAATTGAATTGATCAAGTTACAATTATGTAAAAAAATTTGTTTTACAATGTACATAGTTTTTACAAATATTAATGTGCGCTGAGTAATTGTTTTACAACTTTAAACATGTGTGATAACTGCGTGATGTGTGATAACTTCTTACAATTAGTGTTATTCTGTTGAGAATAAGACGATTAAGGAAAAGTAGGAAATGAAAGGAAGTGTTTCGAGTGTAATGTGTCTTGAAAAATTCAAATCGACGGTGGTGCCTCTTAGTGTTGTTGACTTATTAACGTCTGATGCACAATCGAGATTGAATATGTCTTTCATGAATTTGATAAATGTTTAGTCATTTTTCAAGTTTGTGTTGAAGTCGCCACAAAGAAGAATTGGTACATCGGTATCAACTTCCATGATAGGATGTACATACTGGCTGTTGTAAACATACGGAAATAGTGCTTGATGCAGCAGAACACTGTTGTTAGAGATACTTGCTCCAGGATGAATATAAACTGCGCCAAGAACCATTTTAAACGTGGTATCAGCGGTGAAGCATGTAACTTCTGCCAAGCAAACGACACCAGTGTTTCTAATAAGGCGGGTTGTATCCGACAGATCAACTTTGAGAATTTTGGCCGTGGATGTCGATGATAAGTTTCTATAAATTGCCACTCCACCTGCTGTGTTTGTTTCAGAATCTGATCGATTATTCTGTCGGGTTACACATTCAAAATTTTCAATTGAAATTGGATCACAATTTTCACGCATCCACGTTTCAGTCAGAATCAAATAATCAGACCTTGGAATCACTGTGTCTTTTTCAATATCTGAAAAGTGAGCAGGCAAACTGTGAATTTACAGAATTTTACTGCATTATCAGTAATTGTTCGAAGTGTGTGTCCACGAAGTCGAATGTATTCGTTACGGATATCTCTTGTTGTCTGTCAATCGTTTCCCTCCCGTCCGTGTTTAAAGCGAAATGGAGCATCTTTTTCGGTGATAATATGCAAGCCTTCTCAGCGCCACGTACACCAACTGTTGCGGTTGCTTGGATGAGTATTTATAAACAATGACAGCAAACGCCCCACTTCTGCCACTGTGTATTTTTCATCTTGTGTAGTTTACCTTGGTACTGTCTCTTCTCTTGTTCACTTGAATAACCAAGCAGAATATCATGTGCGAGACAGTTGTATGCATTTAGAATTGCGCTTCGGTTGTACGAATCCACTTCATTGTTACTATAATAAGGCTAATGTCAAAATGTAAAATAATGTCAGGCTGTGACAGCATCAGGCACGTTTTCCTTGCACCAAGCCTGAGTTTTATGTCTGGACTCAATAAGGGAGATATTATCGTTGCTTAGTTGAAGTCCATCGCCGATTTTTGTTAGAATCGTTGAAAACCGCTCATCGGTTTGTCGCTCAACACGAACCAGTGGGAAGTAATCAATGCTGTGCCAAAGAATCGGACCTCCTAATTGGTTGATCGGCATAGTATAACATGGAGTTGCTCGTACAGGTGGAAGCTGTCTGAAATCTCCACATAATATAACGTGAATGTCTATGAAAGGTTTGTCGTATATGCCAGTCATCTGCTGCCATCGGTAGTTAACTTGTTGAAGAATAGCTGAACTTAACATGCTGATCTCGTCGATGAAAACAGCTTTGACGCCTACGAACATGTTTCTGTAAGCTTGCAAATTTTCTGTGGATAAGAGCTTCGTCTGAGTTTCGTTTGAGTTTAGTGCCACCAAGGGGTACAGCGGCTTTACATGTTCTTGCACAGGCAATGTAGGCGTTTTTCATTGAGTTGTGCTCTTGAGTGTAGCGGTTGTATGTCTCCATGAGGCACTTTAACGTGTAAGTTTTTCCACAGCCTGCAGGGCCCGTGAAGAAAATGAACTGCTTCAGAAGTGTAATCTCCACAACCATGCAATAGATGTATAACCTCAAGGATGATCTGCCGTTGTTCCGGATTAGTTGTTCGTTCAAGTTCACAATACTGCTGCTTTGACATTACATTGCTGCGTTTGTTTACAATCTAAAATCCTTGTCGTGGGACGATTTGGTGAACATCGTCGACGTTTTCGGCATCATCCTCTCCTAACGACTGTTGAACAAAGGCTGTTCTGGATTCTTCTTCCCGCAAATTACTGTTGTCTTTGTTTTGCAAAAGCATCACCGTTTCAAGTTCTCTCATGACGTTTTCAATGTTCAAATTAGACTCGAATTGACTACGGCGTTCCATGATCGCGTCTTTGTTGTCGTCAAATGATTGGAGAAATTTATTTTGATCAACAATTTCTAACATTTCGTTGCGGAATTGTACGTACAGTAGAACCATTTCTCGTTTATAATTGTCAGTTTCGTCCATGTCGTAATGTCTGTGTAATATGACACGTCCGATTAGTCGTCTGCGGTATTGATTTTGTGCTCTTGAAGTTCTTGCTGCGGGTTCACTTTCTAGATCTTCTTCGCCATCCACGTGCACGTCGTCCTCCTCGTCAACGAAATCATTAGCTCTAGCATACCACAATGCAAACTCAGCTAAATACACTTGTTCTAAAGATGCAGGACACTCTTCATAGCGCTGGATTATGTTTTTGGTCCAGACATCAGTACTGTTTTCGTCAAGCCCTTGTTGCCGCAAACGTCGTCAACAAATGGACCGCGGTCCATTATATATCGGTTTTTTCGTGCGTGCAGCCGGCTCCATCGAATTATAAGACGTTGTCACGTCAAAAAACATGACTCATGCGGCGTTACCTCGCTCTGAGGCGTTCCATTTAAGGCTTGAAGTGCAAGCGAGAGCGCGGAACGAGTGACAAAGAGGCACAATCGGTCTCCGCGTTCGGCAGCGTTCGACATCTGTCTCTCTCAAGTAGGAACTTGAGTGAGCGATGCGTCCGCTTGGACAGCTACTACTCGTATACAATAATACATTTTTGAAAAATGCAACCATTCCATCAGTATTTTCTTATGACGTTGTCACGTTCAACTATCTTCAGTAAACCAACTTTACAGACAACTGATTTTTCGTGCGTGCAGCCGGCTCCATCGAATTATAAGACGTTGTCACGTCAAAAAATTTCTAAATTGTTTCGAACGACGATTCATTTTGCAGAACCGCTTACAATCGCACCATGGAAAAACAACCTGACGAACCAGAGGATTTCATGAATGAGCCACTACCTTCGAAGAGTGAACCCATGGAGGTTCAAGATGCTGTAGCATTTACTTTAGCAACGCCATTCGCGCAGCCAATAATCGCTGCTTCAAAATCGAAAGCACAAAAACAACGTGAGTACAGACAGCGTATCGCAGCAACTCCTGCTCTGGCGGCTGCTGCAAGAAAATCAAAAAACGAAAGACAACGCAAAAACAGATTACGCCAAGCTAAATTGGCTATTGCCAGTGGTTCTCTTGAAGCGACAACTACATCTTCATCTCGTTCAGGGGACGAGTCGAACAATGTCCAAACTAGAAGTCAACGACAACACGCGCAACAACAATCTACCACCACTGCAGATCAACCTGATGAGCGTGTCAATCTCACAAATGAGCCACTCTTTCCGGCAATTCCTGTTCCCATGGAGGTTCAAGAAGCTGTTGCATCTACCTCTGCGACGCCATTTGCAGAACCAATAACTGCTGCTCCAAAAACAAGGGCACAAATACAACGTGAGTACAGACAGCGGATTGCTGCATCCAAAACTCCTGCACAGGCAGCAGCTGCAAGAGAAGCACGTAATGTAAGAGATCGCAACTACAGATTACGCCAAGCTGCTAACTTGGTTATTGCCAGTGGTTCTCTAGAAGCGACAACTACATCCCACCACCGGGCCTACCACCGATCCCATCAGTGAACGATTGATTTCGCCTCGTCTACCAATTATGCAAGTGCGTCGTCTGCGCCATGATTTCTCTTATGGAATCGTAGGACAAGTGATAAACGTACCAGTCGACGTACAAGAAATGGTAAAATGTTTGCTGCGACAATTGGATGAGGACGACGTTATTCATGTAAACATTAAAAGAAACCTTGCCCACAAATCTGTTTACATTAGCGGATACATGTCCAAAAGTACAGTTCCTTCGTGGTTAACTGTTCTGCAGAACTCTCCATTATATCGTTTGTACGAAATCAAAGTGGACTTGTCGAGACTGAATCTTGCTTTGCCAGACCTCGATGACGTAGAGGATGACCCGTCAAACCACATAGAAAATATCTCCGCAGAACAGAACCCTGAATCTGAGATTCTCGCTTTAACATCACAACATATCGTGATGTGGAACTAAGAAGATTGTCTCCAGGACACCGGCCAACTCCCCTTAACATCATTTACGACCGTCATGCAGAAGAGTTGTCATGTCAAAAAATCTTGTACGTAGCAATGAAAATTTTGCGGCTACGTATGGTGGATGGAATTTACAGCACGTTTCGCAACGTTTCAGTCACAGAAAATGTTACACGACGTATGTTAGAAGACCCAGAATTTCTGAAAGAATATGTCTTACAAAACCTCGCATTCATGAAGACAGTGCCAAATTCCGTCCAATACTGAGCTTCTCGCAAACGAGATGTCTTTGCCATGATTCGTCAACTTGGTAAACCAACCATATTTCTCACTATAAGTGCAAACGAAATGCGATGGATGAAATTGCTTACTATACTTCTCAGACTAAGTAATAAATATCCTGGAAAATCAGCAGGAGAACTCAACACTTCCGAGCGCTATACTTTAGTTAGCGACGATCCTGTGACGTGCTGCATTTACTTCTACAAGCTCGTCGGTTCCTTGATGAAAATGCTGGAATCCAAACAGTCATATAATCCATTCAGAGAGTATTTTGTTAGAGATTACTTTATTCGTATTGAGTTCCAGCATCGAGGAAGACGCACACATTTTATTGTGGTTAAACAACGACCCACATGAAACCCCGTCAGAAAATATGTCAAATTTAATTTATCTTGGATGAATACAACTGCGCAGAGTATGTTGTGGAGTACGTAAATAAATCAGCTCGTGGAATGGGTAATCTACGTCGTGAGCTTACTACGATGATGCAAGAGCATCCCGAACAGGACTACATAGACCAGTTGAAAGCTTTAAGCATCAAGCTGCTTAACGCTGTCGAGATGTCAAGCAGCATGGTATCTCCTTTTTTTTTTTTTTAACGTGTGGAAATCCCCTCGGACCGTCACCCGCGCGGGGTTCTCTGTTCGGCGGGGCGGTGTGTCGGCCTCGAACCGACTAAAACCACACGGTAGAGCATGGTATCTCCTGGTATCTCATGGTCAACCAATAAGCAAAAAAAAAAAATTGACACAATTGTAACTTGATCAATTCAATTGTGATTTCCATTTACCCCCTTCTCTATATCCATACAAAAAAAATATCTATCAAACAAATAAAATTAAAATTTTCTTTTGAAAAATGCAACCATTCCATCAGTATTATCTTATGACGTTGTCACGTTCAACTATCGTCAGTAAACCGACTTTGCAGACAACCGATTTTAATAAAAAACAAATAAACTAAGAAAATAGCCTAATATATTTCTTATGTTTTTTTTTCCACATACAATTTTTTGATAGTTACTAAAATCATGTACATAATAATTTCCACGGTTAGTTTTGGATAGTTATTAGTGGTATAGTCTGTCTTATTAGATATTGTATGTGTTCTCGGATTACGTAAATATATAATATATTTTATACCATGAATTATCGGCCTTAGTGACCATTCTAACCTATTTGATTATAAATATTTTTTGTGGCTTAAATTGATGTTTTCTTCAATATTAAACGCAATAGTTTTAATTACGGAATCGATATTTTTAGTTGTGTTTTATCATAGTTCCATAATATCTAGAAACTTCATAGAAAATGGAATAAGAAACGGATTGTTTTTTCTTACATGCTAAAAATACACTATAATTTTTCAGATTTAATAAGTCATAATATAATAAATTACAAATTAAGCACAAGGTACTTCGTTCCTGACGAGGGTCTCACAATTACACACGTCACTGTTTTACCTTATTACATAGTTATTCTAAACTAATTGTGTTCGAGTATTGAATTAATTAATTATTTAATTATTAGCAAAAGTTACTAGCAATGAGCATTGTACGTATAATGTTATACACGTTAGAATGAGGGTTAAAGAAAGATTTCGACGATTCCAAACCTTTTCGAATTGATCCGTATTGCATGTGTGTTGGATATTTAAATTATTGTATGCATTTAATTGTGTTGCAGTGTTCCACCACAAGTGACAGGGACAATGAATGGCCACTCAACCTCTCACTCCATGGACAGTCGCAAAAGGCTTACACCCATTCCCGACGTCAGTATCACTGGCAACCATACGCCGTATAGGGTAAGGATGAATTGATAATTCTTTTTTTAAATGTTAGCAGTCTAAACTTGACCCGTCTGAACTACTTTTGACTGGTTGAGAGAAAAAATGAAGTAGAAGAAAAATGATCGAATTGTCTTTCGGTTGAATTTTGACCTTTGTATATCTCTTGTAGTAGTAGTAGTAGTAGTAGTAGTAGTAGTAGTAGACCAAAATCTCTTTTCTAAGGAGAGGTATTTGTCCAGCAGTGGACTATTAAAGGCTGTTGATGATGATGAAATATTTTAACGAAAATAAAACGACTTCGTAATAATTTTAATTGTATATTAGCATTTAAAAAAAAAACAATAAAATTTCTATATTTTGGACTCGTCTGTCTTCTTTCTTTAATGTGTGTCTACGGGGCAGAAGGGGTCCACAGCAAGTCTCCATCTCGATCCGGAGAGACTATGACTACCTTTGTTCTTCATGACGGCGCTACAAAGCTCTTGCAACCTAGACAATATATTCCAATGTTGCCTCGTTTATCTTTTGCCATTCATTTTGGCGTTCTCTCCACTAGTCTCCCTGAGATGAAGGACATTTTCGTAGCTGCCTATCAAGTTCAGGGTTCAAATCCGACGACTGCGGTTGTCTTTCTTAATACCTGTTATTGTTTTTTTTCTTGTAAAGAACTCTCGCACGTTTGTCTTCCTATGCTTCTTCTGATCTTGAAATTTAACTTTTTCCGCATTTATGAAGGCTGAAAATATTAAGCCTGTTGTCTCTTGGAAATATTTCTTGATTATAACCATTTTGTTAAAAATAGAAGTGAAAAACAAAAAAGTAATATTAGGCTTACGATATTGAGTTATGGTGTTGCCTAGTCTAATAAATGACTTGAGATAACTAATGCAAAATATTTTTTATCACCCATTCAAGATGTTACTTACTTTTTTACGAAAAAGTGTTTATCAAAACAAAAGCGCCCCTTGAAACTTTCTTTTCAAAGAAATTCTAACAACATAGCGACACAGCGGTTCATAAAAATAAGTTGTTTACCTTTGTTTTAAAAGATGTATTGTTTGTAATATAAAGAAATGCGAGGGTGGCAAACAATACTTTTCTACAAAATGGATATTATGGTGAATAAATTTTTTGTTATCAGCATCCATATTCACACAGTAGAATCTTTAATGAAAATTGAGACACCTGTTTTCTTGTTTTCGTATCACAGCCCAAAAACATCACAAAATTGTTTCTAGAATTTGCAAAACAAAAACTGCCAGCAGCTGCAGGCGATTCCGATAGAGTGGTATTTACTGCTCGATCGGAATCGCCTACTTTGTCATATTACATTAATCAATAAAATATTTGCTTCAATAACGTCCCAAGGCTGGCACTCAATTTTAAGCAACCCTTCTGTAGCCTACCAGCTTTGATTTTATGCCTAGTTCTAACAAATACTTTTACAGAAAGCTCTGCAATAACTTTCAAATTTTAAATAATTACTTAATTATTAAATAAAAGCTTCTTCAACATCATCAACAGCCTATGATAGTCCACTGCTGGACATAGGCCTCTCCTCTGCAAGGAGGTTTTGGCCTAATAATAATAATAATAAAAAAAAGTTTACTTACCAATAAAGGCTAAGGTTCAATGACGACTCGACACTTTAAGTTTATTGTGTACACCGTGATCTTGATGTCGTACTTCGACTTGTACACTCTCTGGACACTATTCAAACTACACCACTAAATACTTAGCACTAAACCATTTGTGGATTGAACATTGTTACGTGAATGTACCGCGTGTTCATTACCTGGGCAAACGAGTGGTTAGGAATGATACCGGGAACGCGCCGTAATGACGCACGTACTTTGATTGACTGATGCAAGCCGGCCAGGGTGCGCACGTGCTACAACCCCTTCGCTTGTATAGGCGCCTTCCGCCCACCTTCCCTTTCTCTCACTGCACACGATATAAACACTATTTCTTAAGTTTGGTTCTAACACTATCCTTTAGTATTAGAATATTATTTTTATCGTAAAATAATTACCCAAAGAAATGACGTTTAACAATTTAAAAATCAGGATTATAAAAAAAATCTTTATCTTGCTTCAGGTACAAAAAGCATTAGTAGAGAATACAATGGTACCATGTATCAACGCCAAGCCATACCAATACACGGAACTGCTGATGACGCTCCCGGACCTGGCGAGTTATTTCTTCCCGCGCGTGTCGCTCACCACCTGCCGCGCCATGCTTGACGCGCTCGGTATCACCCTCTATAAACCTAACAAGTGAGTACACTAACTCTTTTTTTATCGCTTTCATGGTCTGTCAAAGTTTGGCTTTTTCTGTCATTCTTAAAATCATGAGTATGTACTCGTACATAACTGAATTACTTTTTATGATGTTGTAATGTGGGGCTTCGGTCGCCATATTAAGTCTTGTAACTATGTAGTTGGAACTGTTGCGGTAAAGAACTTTTCTTTTGGTTCGAAATCAGATGCAAGCGATAAAGTTTTTCAACCGGTAGTAATAAAACATTTTATTTTCTTTGTAATATTCTTCTTTATTTAATAGTTGCAAACATAGTATTTGATGTGTATTCCCCCAATTGATCATGAAAAGTCCCGATGGAATAATTGTAGGCGGGGTGGAATTTAAGACGTATTCGATCTGCGACGTAATAGACGATAACGCTCGACGTATCGTTTCAGTACGCAGCTCCAGGTGCTGCGCAACTCGGGCAAGTGCAAGTACGCCGCGGCGGGCGAGAACGGCATGGCGCTGGTGTCGATTCGCGACGTGATGGCGCACATGCCGCAGTTCAAGTACATGCTGCGCTCGGGCCACGCCGCCGACGAGCCGCCGCAGGCGCCGCCGCGTCCCGCGCACGCGCCGCCCCCCCCGCAGGCCAAGCGCGCGCGCGCCAACTGAGCCTTGTTGTACATTGTACCATATGAACGATCTATTCGTACTGTTCAATAGAAGACTGAAAATTTATGTTTTTAATCATTTCCTATAACGAAGCTATAGATGCGTTGTGACTGTGTATATTTTGATCGGTCCGAGGGAGTGAACCGTTGTTTTTATCGTTCATTCGTATGTCAGGTTTCTGTGTGCGGAGTGTAAATATTAGATGTATTTTATACGATGTGCATCATGTTTCAATAGTGATGCGTTGTACGTAACGATAAAATAATCCTTAAAGTTTCAGTATGACACTGGCGAAAAGTATTATTTTCATATCGCAGTATTTCTCGATTCCTATAATGAAGCTCGAGAATATATCATCACAATAGAAAATATAACTTTACACTTTGATCACATTTAATTATTATCGTGATGCAGTAAACTTTTAAATTGCACAGCGATTTAGAGTTGTGTCTTAAATCTTGTAAAAATTCGCTATTTTAATAACCACTTATCACAAAAATAACATTTTTAAGTCATAAATTAGGTCCTAAATGTGTTTTCACGAAAAATAGCTTAAAATTAAGAGAATTGGCAATATTTGAGATGAACTATAACTTTCCTAAATCTCACGACTTGGATGCATGTTTTAAGTGCACCGTGTTGTCAAAATTTGTTGCCCAATGTAAAAAATAAAATGGGGGCCCTCGTGGGCAATGGAGATCAGTTCCTGGCTTAAATCCTGAAAATTAGATTAACTTAATAAAATATTATTAATATTTCCTTTCAGAATATTAACGATTGTCCATTCCTATGGATGGCTCTTAAATAAGCGTGCAATACGAATTGTTACAATTGTTCCAAGTTATATGTTTACATGCCAGCTTAATGATATTCATTGATTGGAACGAATATAAAACGCAATGTAATATAGGCAAAACTAAAATTATGTTTGTTTCACTAACGTTTCTTTGTCTGACATGTTGGGATTTCATTTTCGATTTCATCTTATTGAAGCCTACTGTTCACATCAACAAATTGTGCAATAACATTTTTTCCATAATGTCCATTTAAAAATGAACATTAAAATTTAGCAAAAATCTTTAGTTTTTTTGCTGTTATATACTCTCAGCCTTATTATTTCTCGTTAGATCTAATTTTATATGTACTATATTTAAAAAAATATAGATTCTAATAACTAAATAGTGTTCTACTTAAAGTTAACAATGTTGGAGAAAACGAAATCCCACCAGTCATGTGTTCGTAGTTTAATAATACCCCGTGCACTACGCATTGATAGACTTAAAAACATCAGGGGGCTAGTGTGAATTTTTTTCACATCAACTTGCTCTCGACGGTGACCGCTTTCGGCGTTGCATTGGCCCATTATTGGCTCATTATTCGTCGATTTTATTGGCCCAATTGGCCCCAATATTTGGCGAGGTCAGTGCGACCTCGCCAAATAAACTCACACTGGCCCCAGGAGTCTTAAGTTTCAACAAGTTTTTTGAGCTGCCTTACAACTACACCTAGTATGCGGTTAGGAAACCACATGACAAAAATGTAATAGACATTACATGGTTAAATCTAAGATTTGATCTTTGATTTCCAATTTTAATTTTTAACAAGACTGGTGAGGATTTTTCTCTTTTGCCGTTGACACAGTCAATTCACCATATGACGTGTTTTTTATTTTTTCCAATGTTAAATGTACCAGTTTTATTAGGCTTAGCTGTAAGCAGCCATGTTATCCCAGATAATAATGTAGGTGTATGTTATATCCAATAAGTTTATTAAAAAAATAGGACTATTTATGAAACTGTTAACATGTACTGACCGACAGAAAGCACACCACTCAAAGTTCAACTATCGTTTCTAATAGAAAGGGTTTTAAAAGAAGTGGTTCCTAAGTGTTTGATTAATGGCAAAGTATTATACCCAACTGAGTGGATATCTGATACTATTGTAATAATAAGTACATGAATGATATATCAAGATATAATAAATATACACATGTAATCAGTGATTTTTAAAGGGGCTGCGAGGCTTCCGTAAGTCGGGGTATTATATATTCTAACTTACATATTTTAAGTAGGTATTATTTCGGTGTGTTGGTTATTTATTGTGTTTTGCTAAACTTGCGCGGCATTTATCAGATGCCTTGCGTTATAAAAACCACTGGAACTAAGCAATTGGACCAGATGTTGTTAAAGCAATAATAGTAGTGCTTGTAGAAATATTGTATTTTTTTTTTGTAAATCATAACCTGTAAGTTTTATACATAATGTGTTTGATAACTAAACACATACACCTTGTGTACAACACAGCTTAAGAATAAAATCTGACAAGTCTTACATAAGTAAGTACATAAAACAATCGTTTTTTTTTTGTTATTTCATCATTAAACGGTTCAATACATTTCTATAACAAACGCAATGTCAAGTTTCGCAAAAATGAGAAAAGGGAATAATACTTAGGCCTTGGTAGTTTGAAGGAAGGAAGAATCTAGTTTAACTTTTAAAAATATCTAGGTAGATAGTATAAACGCAGAGCTGTGTAAATGTATGCTAAATTATTTATGATATAGCTATAAGTATGGCATGGTCTATTTGATATATCAATTGTAAAGCGATTAGTGGTAACCCTACGCAATACAAATTTGTGGTATTAAAGAAAATAAAAGATACTTTATATGAAATATCGTCTTTTGATATTTACTCTCCCGTGTAGAACCCAGTCTGTAGTAATTTGTTTACAAATTTAAAAAACAAGCACAGATTAGAGAATTTAAGGGAAGCTCAACGGAATTTTCAGGAGTTAAAATATGTATGTACAGACAGATTAAATATAGCAGGGAACTGCTTTATAATACAGTTTGAAAAAGGTTTTATTGTGGGAGAGCCATATTTCGACTCATAAGGGGCAACGTCGACCGGAATAATAAATTCCACAGCCTCAGAGAAAATCGGTGCTATGGTGGGTACGGCCAATGCAGTTAGTGCGAGTTGCGTCGCAAAACACAAGTTTAGGTATCAGAGGGGTAAGTCTTGCGTATCGGAAGGAACGGGGGAGGGGGGGCACGTGGCCCCCAACGCGTTGCACCGCCGCAAGGTCAGTTGTAAGACGCTCTAACCCATTAGTAATTTCACTGCTTTGCTCTAACGTACTGTTATGAACAAAATTGTTATAGTTTCTGTTAATATTGTTATTTGTTCTATTTTTGTTTATTTATTTTTGTTATCCGTTTTGTTTGCGTTTGTTATTATTGTTGTACGCTTTATATGCGTTTCTGAAAATACCGAGACGAAATTCCGTATTAAAAGGCAGGCCAGATAAATAGGTTTAATGCTGTTATATAATAATACTCGTAATTAGTTAAAAGCAGAATCAATACAAGGAGTAAAAAACACCTGATATGAAACATGAATGTAGTTAGTTCTTACCTACCTTTTTGATCTGCTGCTATTAAAACTCAGATGTACTGCGAATTACTTTAGATAAATAATTTTAGTTATTTGTCACTTCAATATATAAATATATATATATATTGAACATAATTATAAGTGTCTATTAATTAAAACTGTGCTCGTACTTGTAATAACTACTCCGGAGTTGTTAGCAAAAGCGTTAAGTATATAAAAATTTTACTTTTTTCGTCTAGTATTTAAAACATTCACGTTAACTTTTCGAAAATAGATATACATATAGGTAAATTATACAATTTTGGATTAAATAAATTGAATTTATTACTATCTACTTGTTTGGGTGGCTTAAAAATGAATACAAAAAGAAAATAAAGAGTTTTTTGTTGGCGCGTACTATAACAGTTCTTTCGTTGCTTTCCAGCGAGTGAGTAAGGTTCATCAACTGCGTTAGCAGGCAACATAGGACTCTCTTAGCAGGTTTTGGCCTTCAATACCACTTTGGCCAGAGTAAGTTTACCGAAGCCTAAAGCCCCCCTCTGAATTTGGGGGAAGGACTGAAAGAGCGGGAACACTTTTGTGACTTGTCATGGGCGGCTATAGTCACATGTGACCTGCCTGCTCGTTTGCCCATAGATAATAAAAAAGTTATATGAATCCATAACCTGTATAATAGGTAAGGCGGAGCGCAGTAGAATAATAATAATAACTTAAAAATAACTTCATTCGATTCGTCTTTAACCTTTGCAAATACTACCATGTTATCTCCTTTTGTCGCGAATTGAACTGGCTCATAATTCGCCCTCACCTCCCTCTATTTCATTCCCAACTCACCAATTTCCCCTTCCTACCTTATATCCTCATTCAAATTTCTATGTTCTAATCACAACAGAACCCTCAGTTCCTCAAACAATCCACTCCTGTTATGTCTCAGTCATACTTCCGCGTGTTTCCACTCTTCGTTCCTAATCCAATCTGTCTTCCTTTGGAACGCTCTACCTCTCGAAATCAAGATATCACCCAGCCGCCTCTCATTTAAGAATATAATTCGAATTTGCATCCTCGACACCCCAGCAGATTCATCACAACCGTAAAGTTTTATATATAATTTGTGTATATTATATATGTATGTATGTCATTCAGCAAGTATATATGAATGTGTATTTCAGTATGTATTTTCGTATATCTGTCCCACTGTTTATGACCATCTCGTCAATTAAGTATAATTATTTTCTTTTTAAAACATAACTTAATTTCTAGTGCACCTATTCAGCGAATGAAGTACCTATACGGTACTTTATTATAGTTGAAAGAAGGGTTTGCTACAATGTTATGAGTTTTGTTTGGTTATAATTTTACATTGCAAAAAAATAAGCATTACATTTCAAAACAAAGTATTAAAATGCAAATATTTTAGAGGGTTCTATGCAGTAGGCAACATTAAAGTGGTATTAAACTTAAGCCTAAAGGCCTACGCAGACGAGGGAAAACCGAATAACGCACACAACGGATTAAAAGTCCTCTAACAAGAGAGGACATCAATAGACCAGAGTACCGGACTAGACAAAAGTAAGAGGAAAGTCCCCGGAGAAAAACTTTAATAAAATTGTGGTTAAGGTGTCACTGACGTGCGTGTGAAAGAGACCATCTTGTTTAGGTCTGAAAGGGCTTTTGTCAATGATTTTCTCAAGAATTGAATATCTCCCAGACTGACTAATGTTACAATCACAATTACAAGGAGCTGACATGGCAACATTTTAATAGCTGTCAAATATTGTCAATTTGTCATTGTATTCTTCTGAATGGCGGAAATAGACTGAAATCACTTAATATTTGGCTATTGAGTAAAATAATAATAATTGAAGTGAAAAACAGTGCATATAAATTACTTTTCAAGTTCTTTTTCAACGATTACAATGGGCGCTTTACCTGAGTTGCATTTCGGTCATTTGTTACTATTATATTAAAAATTTAATAAAATTTTCATTTTCTTAGGATGTTAGGAATTCATTGTCATTCCATTGTATCATTTTGTTTCATTTACTATTGTTTCTAGTTTTAAGGGTTAGGTTAGAATAGGTTATCAGAATGAACATTCAAGTGTGCAGGGATCTATCAGACGCTGTGGCCCTTTACCTGCCGCAGCGTTTGTACCTAAAATCTTTTGCAAAGCTTAACATTTCTGTGCAGCTTCCTTCCAACAAGGTTCACGGCAAGTCAATTTCCAATTGGGAACTCATGGAGAAGCTTCGAAAGATGATTCTACCTGATAATTTTTCCGTATTGAAAGTGACGAAGCATAGTTCTGAAAGTATACGTTTTGACGCTGAATTAGAAAGTCGTGATAAACTAGAGCGAGTTATAGCTAGACTCGAGGATCGTATCGTGCAATTAAAAGAGTATCCGGACCAACTCAAGGTTCGGGTATGTGAGGCAAAGTCTGACTTCCCAACTCGTCATGATTGGGATTCTTTTTTCCGCGACGCGACAGACATGGACGAAATGAAGCCTGGTGAACGTCCAGACACTATTCATATATCTAATCTTCCAATCAGATGGTTTGTAAATGACAAAGAGCCAGATGAGGATGCACCTCCTTCTGAGAGTATATTTAAGAAGGCTTTTGAGAAATTTGGCTCTATTCGGCAAGTGGATGTTCCGGCTGCTGATCCATTTAGAATGCAAATGAAATCAACCATGAGGGGTATAACCACCCCACCACAAGATGCAGCCCTATATTTTGAGGGTTATATCCAATTCAGTGAATATGTTAGCTTTGTTCGCTGTATGGATGCCCTTAGGGGAAGAAAACTTCTCCGAAAATGTGATGACATTGGTGAGTGGTGCGGGATCAAAATAGATTTTGATAAGACAAAACATATGACCGATGCTGCTGTTAAAAGACGGGCTATTGTACGAGAAAGACTGTTAGCTCGTCAAAAAGCTAAGGACGAGGAAGAAAAACTGGAGAAAGAGAGGATAGCTAAGAGAGAAGCTAAAGAAAGGTATAAATTTTTTGTATTTCTAATTATATTTTATTCTCAACATTGTCACTCATTGTGTCATGAGGGATTAATAATACAGAGTGGCACCATCCCGTAGCTATCGTAGGAGCTGGCTAAGGGAGCTAACTCTGTGGGACAACAGCACTGCAAAGAGAAGAAAAACTTGGAACAAACCCTATTAAAACCTGTCTGCTGATAGTGGTGTAGTAGGGCAAACCTGCTTTCTAAGGTGAGGCAGATATCCAGCAAGGGACTGTTAAGGGCTGTTGATGATGATGTTATTCATTACTCCCATTGGCCCATTCACAGACTAATTGTAGTCCAGTATAACTGATTAACATTTGAGTATTAAGCTGAAAACATAAAATTCAAAAGGAAAGTGAAGGTCACCTGCCAATGCATTTGTGATTTTTGTTAAAATATTTCAAGCTTAGATTTAATCCCTTTATGTAAGGGAACCATGAAATAATCAGTCACTGAATGATTCCAACTTTTCTCCAAAGTAAATTCATTACCTGAAAGAAAAAAAGGACAGAAAGATGTGTATTTTAAAGATACAGTCCAAAATCCACATTTTATTCATATTAGTTTATTCATACACATTTTGTTATACACATATATCATCACCAATAGCCTTTAATATTCCACTACTGGACATAGGCCTCTCCTTAGAAAGGCGTTTTTGGCCTACTATACAACACAGACCAGGTATGGGGTTTGTGTCAAGTTTTACTGTCAAACTGTCAGGGTTTTGTTCTTACCTATATTTTTTTTTAACCTTTGTCCTACATTAAAGTAATATCGATTGAAATACTTTTTGTCTTTTGTCTTTATTTTGTAAAAAGTAGCCTATGTTACTCGTTGAGACTCGCATTTTAATCATTTAGACGTGAAAATTTAACAAACAACACTTACTTTTACATTTATAATATAAATATAGATTTGTTCTGCATATTGTAAACGGGCCTATTGGTCTAGTGTAGTTGTGGGTCTGATTCCAACCCAGTACTAATTTTGTGTGATGAGCATGATCATTTGTTCTGTGTCTGGGTGTAATTTACTTATGATATGTATGTATGTATTTAGAAATTTATGAGTTATGTTTAATTAGAATATATGTACTTGGTTATTGGCAATTGGCAATTGGCTAGCCTTGTACATAGGGTGCCGTCAGAACAGTGATTTTTCATTCATTTTAATTTAATTTAATTTAAATTAATAAATAAATTTAATCAAACATTTTAGTGAGACTAAAAATTCTAGTCTGCAAAATGTGGATGTTTTAATAGTTGTTTTAATAAGAAGATTATGTATGTACTGCATTTATCCTAAGTCTACTCATCTTTATCATTTGTTGCTCTGTAAGAAAGGAACTTATTTTTTTATAAATTTTTAGACAAAAACATGACCGGTCTGAACGTGAAAAGCTAGAGAAAATGCGAGAGAGGGAGGAGCGTAGAAAGAAAAAGCAGCTAGCCAAGCTAATGGAACGTGACAACATGGACCTGAACAGCAAAGTAAATGAGGAGCAGAGAAAACTTCTTAAAATACAGAAGAAACTCCAGGCTCTGAGACTTATAGAAGAATTGTTTAGAAGGATAGAGGTTAGTTCACTGTATCCACAGGTCCCTTTTTTCTTGGTCCACTTTGGAAAAAGCCTACTCCATAGTTTACTATTTTTTTTTATTGTTAATGATGGTGCAATAGTAAGGTTGTTACAAAGATTAGTTTCGTTTCTGCATATTCCACCTTGTGGCATGCAAATATTGATAGATACTTTTTTTTGTATTACAATTTCATTTTTTCTACAAACATCATTTGTTTGGCCTTCCTATTATTATTTTGCTATTTGGTATAGCCTATTTGGAACTTTTTTAAGTCCAACTGCTCCTTGCATCTTGTCAAATGACCTACGCACTGCTGTTTTAAAGCAGCATTGTTGCTTGTAATTGCTTATTCTAAGGCATCTGTTAATTTTGGTTTTGCTTTTGGTGTTGTTAATTTTGGTTTTGTTAATTTTGGTTTTATCTTGTTGCTAAAGCATATACTGAAATGATTTCACCACTTTTGCCAACTATGCTATTTTCTCATATTCATCCATAGACAAAAGAATAAAATTCAACAGTAATTTTGAGCAATTTGTGCTCTATGCTTTTATACAAATACCAGAATTTTCACTAAGACTTAGATAATAGGTTCTAAATTCCGTTGTAAGGAGAGGCCTATGTCCAGCAGTGAACTATTAAAGGCTGTTGATGTAATGTGTAATGTGAGTTTTACTTACTTATGGACCAACTTTTATTTGCATTTAATTACAGCTCCGTCCAGAGTTACAACACGGCAGTAGCAGAAATGATTACTACCAACCTGGAGAGCGCACCGCGCGTGTTCGTATGATCGACAAGTACAAGCGACAGCAGGAGGAATTGTTGGAGGCGCAAAGGAACCACCTAAAGAGTGCCCTGAATGGTATACCAACAAAAAAATTACATTATAATACACTAGCTGACCTGCACAACTTTGTCTGCTTCTGAAAAGGAATAACTCTTCCCCGTTTTCGCAACATTTTTCTTTGATACTCAGCTCCAATTGGTCGAAGCATGATGTTATATAGCCTACAGAGCTATCCAACACTAAAATATTTTTCAATTCGAACCAGTAGTTGCTGGGATTACTCAGAAACTTACATACTCACAAACTTTATCTGTGTATAATATTAGTATAGATAATGCAAAAACCATATCAATATCAAACCCATGGCACTAATTAATCGAAATCTGACACCTTATCCTATGACCATATGATTTAAATACTATGTCAGACTGGTATTATAAGTTCTACTAGCAACCGGAAATACTAGTATTCCCGTTAACTTCTCCAGCTAAGCTAAATTGCTTGTGTTAGGAGTGGGTTCACGTCGGTAGTATACTGGTCAGGATTCGAACGCACGATCATTGATCGCAAGTCCAACGCTTTAACCACTAGGCTACCGCCGCTTCAATTTGGAATAAGTTTTTTGATTAAGCGGAACTTTTAAATATCGCAGTAGTAAGCAACTTCTTAAAAGCTTATCTAATATTAAACGATTTTTTACAGGTCGTATTGTAATCCGCTCGGCGTTAGAAACAAAGAAACCCAAACGTGAGTCTTCCATCAGCTCAATTTCTTCGGATGAACGCGACACGCGCAAGAGAATCAAGACAGAAAAGTTGTCCACGCCTGAACGTGAGATGGAGTATAACAAGGCTACAGGTATGATCTTGCTCTTTTATTAGTTTAAAATAATAATAATCTTCTACCACATTCACACAACGCCATCTAGTCCCAAACTAAGCAGAGCTTGTACTATGGCTACTAGACAACTGATATAAATACATATATACTTTTTTTTGTAAATACATACATATTGTACATGGAAAAACCCAGACCAAATCAAACATTAAATGTTCATGCACAAAAATGTTTGACTTGAGCGGGAATAGCAGACCGTTATACAAACCACTACGCCATTCGGTCGTCAATGTTTATAAATAAAATGAAAAATGTGGAATACATACAATAATTTGCTATTTGAACTTGGATTTTATTTTTTTCTTTCATTTTTTTTTTCATTTCATGACTGTACACTGTACAGACTGTTATCCAGCTAACAGATTTAAAATAAAAAGCAGCGATGTGGTAAACTTGTAATGGCTGAACAGTACAGATTGAAAGTACACAATGGTAATGTACCGACATCTATGTAATATATACACATAAGCGTAACGCCCCAAAAAAGTAAATAGACGGCCTAAGGGCATACGCACTATTGCGCACACGAATTGCGTAGGCGCTTCAACAATGACTGTATCAAACTCTAACTCAAAATATCTATTTCATATAATTTTTAAAATTCAATTCAAATTTAAAATCCGCCATTTCAGGCCAGTGTGTTGGAAAACACATTGAAAATATTTTGTAACTACAAAAGTTCTTGTGTAGTTCCCCAAGCTGTGTTGAGAGCTGGCTCGTATTTGACCCGCAATATTGCGCATCTTGGGAAGTTAACTATAGTGATTACAATGGTTTTTGCAATAATTGTGACGACTGCACGGATGGCGTAGTGGTTTAAGCGGTCGTCACGCCGCTTCCTACTACGACACTTTGTGTGATCCACAAATTGTTGTTCTGAGTCTGGGTGTTCTGTGTGTCCGTTTCATGTACGAGGGGTGATCAATAAGTAATGATAATCGAGTATTTCTAGAACGCACAAAAACCCAAATTATTTTTTTTCTGCTTGCTTATATATCCACTACTTCAGCTTCAAAAAAATGTATAAATAGGACACCATTACCGGGAGATACATTCATTTGAATACGAACTGTCGAAGAGAAAACATCAAAATGGAGAAAAATGAAATAAGAGCTGTCATCAAGTACCTCTGCCTGAAAAAAATGTCTACCAAAGACATACACAGCGACTTAGAGGAAACATTGGGGGAGTCTGCTTCTCCATATTCCACAGTCGCACGCTGGGCAAAGGAATTTAAGCTGGGCAGAACCTCCACTGAAGATGAACATCGCGAGGGACGCCCTTCCACGTCCCTTACTGGAGAAAACGTCAAAAAAGTGGAAGATATTGTGTTGGCCGATCGAAGGGTGACCGTAAGGCATGTAGCTGAGGTCACAGGGATCTCCTATGGCAGTGTTCAAAAAATCATTGTCAACAAAATGCATATGAAAAAGGTCTCTGCGCGTTGGGTACCGAGAATGTTAACCGACGAGCAAAAAAAGAAACGAGTCGACATTTCGAGGGTGAATCTTCAAAAGTTCCAGGCCGATAAAGATTTTTTTTGTCGCGTTTTGTGACCATGGACGAGACCTGGATCCACCACTTTGATCCCGAAACCAAACAACAATCAATGACTTGGAAACGAGCTTCCTCACCAACGCCGAAGAAATTCAAAGTGTCAAGTTCAGCGGGAAAGGTTATGGCGTCTGTTTTCTGGGATGCAGAAGGAATTATTATGGTGGAATATTTGGAAAAGGGGGCCACTATAACAGGCTCTTACTACGCAGGCCACAGGACACAGGATTTGTCGGGATGCGGGTGTTGTCTTTTTATGAAAAAAAATAAAAAATAAATAAATATAAATTGTGATTGTTCGCAGCTGGTCTTTACGGCATGCCGTACGGTTTCGGCTATCCGTTCGCGTGCCCGCCTGCATACGGCTACCCACCACCGCAAAGTATGAGTATCATGACCATTATATATTTTTTACTACTAATTATTTTTAAAATCCAATAGATTCTTAATTTTACTTGACATTTCATTCCATTAGATTGATTTTTTAAATTCATATTGTAATAAAAATATATCTTGTAAGATATCTTTGTTAAAAGATATTTTTATTTGAATAAATGTGCCCGTGAACATTTGACGGGTGACAATGCATTCCACAGGCGTGTTGGCGTTAGAAAGTATGATTGAACGACAAACTGTGGAATGCAATAGCCAATACTCTAAGATAAAAGATACACTACAAAAAATTCCACAGCGTCGATGTACTACCCGGTGCGCGGCGCGTACTACCCGTCGCCCGACGTGTACCGCGCGCGGGCGAGGGGCCGGGGCCGGGGCCGGGGCCGCCCGCGCATGCCCTACTTCCACGGGCCCGACGCCAGCCACCAGTACTACAAGTGAGTGCCACCTTACAAGCCTTGCTCGTTTTTTTTTAATATTGAATAAATATTGGTGATTATTTATTGTGTTACCCGGCCATATTGCCTGCACTGTTCAAAAATAACACAAGAAATTAAATTTATTTGTAGATATTTCAAGAAGTTATCAGAAGCTGAATCTCGTACCGAGCACGATGAGAGAATGCGGTCCCGCTCGCGGTCTCGCCGCCGCTCGTACTCGCGGTCACGGTCGAGGTCACGCCGCCGGTCACACACACGGTCACGGTCTCACAGCCGCCGATCCAGAAGCCGACGATCCAGGAGCAGGAGATCCAGATCTAGGAGTAGAAAATCTCGGTTAGTGAAGGAACGATACTTAAATACTGACTAAAGGTCTATATTACTATTGGTTCCAGATACCGTTTGATGCACTGGCAGCAACTAAAATTCTGCATATCCAATGAATTAATTCTATGTTTTTGAACCTGAAATTTTAAATTATAATTCCAGCTCGTACGACTCCCGCTCACGGTCCAGATCCCACCGGCGCTCCCGTTCTCGAGCACGGCGTTCCCGTTCGCGGTCTAGACCTCATACCCCCCCCAGCGCTAGGAGCGTTCCCCTCGACATTCACGCTGCAGAGGGGATCATAGCTGACGGCAAAAAGTTGGTGTCCCCCGGAGTGATGAACCCACGTCGATCGAGGAGCTGGTCTTCACCAAAAGGAGGCGACAAAGCCTGGTCTAAAAGTCCTAAAGAAAACTAAATATAGTTTATTTATGTTATTGCTTTTTATTAATTTTTATTTAAAGTACATTCAGCATCAAAAGTTGCCCACATATTACAAAATTATTTTAGTATTAATACAAAGAGCCTGTTACAAATTAAAGATGGCTTTTAATTTTAAGTCAACTTTAATAACTAGCAGAAAGCGACCGATTGATCGTGCAGAAGCATGGCTCTACCACGATTGACACATGTCTTATCGGTTTTATAAATTTCGGCAGATGGCGTTAGTGATATTCAGAGGAGGAGTCAGACTTAGGGCGACCTTAAACGTATGTGTTAATATGGAGCTGCGTTTTACGAGAAAAGATTTTTACCGCGGGAGAGCCATGCTTCGGCACGAATGGGCCGGCTCGACCGGAGTGATACCACGGCCTCACAGAATACCGATGTTAAGCAATTCTTTCGTTGCCATTTACTGAGTGAGTGAGGTTACCGGAGCCCAAATCCCTCGAGCGGAAGGGACTCCAAGGGCAGCAACGCACTTGTGACTTTTCAGTTGCAGGTGTCCATCTGCGGCGGTAGTTGCTTACCATCAGGTGACCCGTCGGCTCGTTTGCCCCCTCTGCTTCGTTTGGGTCATCGTCGTCGGTCATCCTTTAAGGGGGTGAAAAGGGAGGTGGAAGTTTGTATGGGGAATCATTAACCGCTCAACTGATTTAAATGAAATTTGGTATAGATATAATTTGTAGCGTCCGTGTGGTGACGGATTAAGAATACAGAGTGTCACCACCCCTATTCATCCCGTGGGTGTCGTAAGAAGCGATTAAGGGAGCATACTACGCAGGACAACAGCACTGCAGAGAGAAGGAAAACTTGACACAAACTCTATACCAACCCGTCTGGCCAGCGTGGTACAGTAGGACAAAACCTCCTTTCTAAGGAGAGGCCTCTATCCAGCAGTGGACTATTAAAGGTTGTTGATGATGATGATGATGATAAGTATGTCAGTTATTAAGGACTAAAATGTAAGAGGCAATGAAGAGAAAACAAGAACGGGTGAACTTAATTTATTAGATATTAGGGATGAAAGTCTCTAAAATTAAACAATCTGAATCTAGCATCTGCTGAATATATTAAATTGAGGATTAGGAATGTTTTTTGATGATGAGGCAAGTGAGCAGACAGGTCCCCTGATGGAAAGTGACTACCGCCGTCCATGAACGCCTGCAACTCAATAATTACGGTAATTAATGTGTTATCAAGGCTTATGATAAAGTATTAATGAATTGTCGGCGTTATTATAAGATAAAGGAAGTTAATTGGTATATTTACTAAGACTGCATATATTATACTGATATCTGTAAACTCCGACTGTTGTCAAAATGAAGGGAATCGCTGTTGTTCTCCTGTGTGCGCTCGTCGCAATTGAGGTAATTATTGCCTACTCAATTTTACAGTTCAATAGATTTTACTCCTGCAAATCTATTCTTTATAAACGGCATGGAGGCCCTGTCACATGCACACACAACTAAAATCTGTTCGAACTGTTTCAATCTCGGTCCCGTTTCCTGACTTGCGGTAAAAGAAACTTGGGATATTAATTACCCTAGCTTCCCCGCTCCGATCCCCCCCTATCCGATTTATTTCCCTTTGTCCCGTCTGCAATAGATTATACTTATATATTTCGATTATATAAACTATTATAGGTATATGGAGTCAGGTAGACGTGGGTATACAGGGTGTAAGGCACAAGGTCTCATAGATCTCACTAAAACGTCTTTCTGTAGATACTTATCAAGCTAAAGCAAGCAAAAGTCAGTTCATCATAAAAATTAAAGCTAAAGGATTTACAGTATAGTAGGCCAAAACCTTCTTTCTAAGGAGAGGCTTATGTCCAGCAGTGGACTGTTAAAGGCTGTTGATGTGATGTGATGATGTCATTTACAGTGATTAGTTTTGTTTTGCGCTACGCAATGTACAGGTACTAACGTAATCTATCGCTGAAGTACCGTAACTCGCGCGCGTACAGCTGACGAACGCTCGCGCGTTAACATAACTACCTCATTAAGTACCTACTTGAAACCGTGTCCACAAACTCAGGTCGTTGGTGCTCGTGTCATAACTTAATCGATAAAAGTCGCTGAATCGCAACCAAACACATTACTTAGTATTATTGAATCTAAACTATGGTTCAGTCCAATTTACCTGCACCAGGGCCTTCCTTTCTAGGGTATACCTGGTTCCCCGGCTATTAGTACCCGGCGAAGGCGTGCGGTTTTAGTCGGTTCGTGTCCGACATGCCACCGACAGGTGGTATCCGAGGGGATTTCCGCACGGAAAAAAAAAAAAAAAAAAAAAAAGTCCAATTTACCTGCATTAAAATAATTAATTTTACCTTTGTAACTTCATTGTACTTGTATATTACATCTGTTGTTAATTACTTTATAATGTCTGTAAAACCCTGGTGTACAAATAAAGTATTTATCTTTCTATCTATCATTATTTTCTAACTTCCTAAAATTAAAAGTAAATTAATTAACTTTAAATATCACGCATGTGACAACAACCGAAAAAGAGTTGAAATCAACCGTTAAAGAGGTAGAGAACAGCAGAATTAAACTAAGGTCCAATACCTTCAGACTGCAGAAGATCGCGGTTAAATTTCGTTACATAAATTAACGAATACAGTATATTTCTCACACTTACAGAGTTTTTTTTTACGATATTTAAGTTCTAGCACCGATCTACTTGAATACGAGGTCTGTCCTTTTGAGAATGTTTTAAGTGATTATCATTCGATCCGACCGATCGAGCCGGCCTATTTGTGCCGGAGAATGGCTCGCCCACGGTTACAAGTCGCTTGTAATTCCAGGCAACTCTGTAATTTATTTAGCTACCTACTTTACATTATCACATCACATCAACAGCCTTTAATAGTACACTGCTGGACATAGGTCTCTCCTCGTAAAGGGAGCTTTGGTCTGTTTATTTTTTTTTGTTGACGGGGTGGAAAATCCCTTTAGATCTCCGGCTCCGTGAGGATGTAGGAGGATGTAGCTAGGAGTATGTGGTGTTTCCACAAAAAAACCACCGCGACGGCTGGACTCAGAGGCCCTACTCCGAGGAGGACCCGGACCATGTTATTTCAGGTCCCCTCGGATCGACGCCGCGCTTAGCCAGGCCCTATCCCGGGGAAAGAAGGCATCCCCGCCTATCGGCTAAACCTTATGATAATGTTGCGGCCCGATCGCATTTTTACAACCAAGCCGCCATCCTATCGCCTACCGCAGCAGTTAATTTGACACTAGAGATCCCCACTCTCTGGCAGCCTGCGGCCCCGTTGACGGCTGATAGCGCCGTCGACGTACTTTACGCTCGGGATCGGCCCTCTCCCGAAGGGACCTTTGGCCTACTATATATAGACGGGTTGGTTAGGGTTTCGGGCGGAGAGCGGATTTCGCCCTCCGCCCGAAGACGTGTGCGAGTTCGCTCCATGGCCGGTAGCGACAGTTGTTTTACCGCGGTCGCAACCTTCTGCGAGGAGGTAATCTCGCAGAAGGAGGCGGCGGAGAAGGCCAGGGAGGACGACCTCCACTCGGACCTGATCCGCCGCCGGCGAACCGGGCGGCGGAGGCGCGCTCACCTCCGCCTCATGCCGCCCTGAGTGTGGTCGCGGGTGGACGGGATGGGTTCTCCCCTCCACCCGCATTAGTTTGGCCAGCCGCGAGGGGGCGGCGTCCGCGTGTGCCGGACGCCGCCTAAAGAGAGGTCAATTTGAGACGGAGCCCGCACCAGGATCGGGCCGGCGCTGGGAGGGGTCCAGAAGGAGATAGCTACCTGGACCCCTCCTAAACTGGAAGCGCAAAGAGGGCACACCGTGTGGTTTTAGTCGGTTCGAGTCCGACACACCGCCCCGCCGAACGAGAGCCCCGGCGGGGTGACGGTCCAAGGGGATTTCCACCCGTAAAAAAAAAAGGGTTTGTCTCAAGTTTTCGTTCTATTTGCAGCGCTGTTATCCTGCGTAGTTTGATCTCTTAGTCGGCTCTTACGACACACTCAGGATGAATGGAAGATCCACCTACTTAGAAGATACCTTTTTGTTAAAAATTTGTATACATTCTGTTTGGTCCCATTCAAATTTAAAGAAAAATTTCACGCCTAAGGGTGAAAATAAAGGAATGAAGATTACAGTTAAGTTTACAGTTTATTACAATTTATCACGATGTAGACATTGAAGTTCGTGATACTTTTTTAAGTTAATAATTTACCTCATTTCATACCATATTTCCTTGTTTTTCCTTTAAAAAAATAACTACCGAAGACAGAGTAGAAATATATCGGTCGCGGGGAACTTCATAAACAGACATGAATCGGACATAAAGAACACCCAGTCTCAGAACAAGGATTTGGCGATCATATAAATTGTTATCCCATGTGGGGATTGAACCCATAACACTCAGCGCAATATGGAGCAGTGAGGTGACCACTTGAACCACTACGCCATCCGTTCAGTCGAATGTAGATAGTATAAGTAGATCTTTGAACCATCAGTAGTGTGTTTACAATTTTCTACGGGTGTTTAATTGTGGGGAATAGTTGCCCATAAGATAACTCATGCATCTGTGTCTAATAAAATTGTATAAAAACTTTGATTTTCTCTCAGGCCCTGGTGACTTCTTGACCTGCAGTGAGTTCGAGAGGCCTAAATCCAGCAGTGGACTATTACAGGCTGTTGATGATGAGAGATAAATTTTAGTTTCCTTGTCAGGGTATAGGCTGTGCGATGTTTTTTAGGATGGTTTTATAATATGGATAGATAGATAATCTTTATTAAAGCCAGTATCATAAATCTTTCAAAATCTTTGTCTACAATGCTTGTAATAAGATTTTCTTTTTTTACTGCCTCGGTGGCGCAGCAGAAGCATCTGCGACAGCTGTGCTGAGGGTCTCGAGTTTGATACCTGGGTCGGACCAAATGTTTGAATGATCTGCAAATATTTGTTCCAGAGTTCGGGTGTTTTCTATGTATAATATGTA